GACTGCAGGAAATAATCAAATTGAGAGCTGAAATCAACAAAATCGAAGCAAAGAAAACAATATAAAGAATCAATGAGACAAAGAGTTGGTTCTTTGAGAAAATAGACAAACCTTTATCCAAACTAACCAAAAGACAGAAAGAGAATACCCAAATTAACGAAATCAGAAATGAAAGGGGGACATAACAGACACAGAGGAAATCCAGAGAATCATTAAGTCATATTTCGAAAACCTGTACTCCACAAAATTGGAAAGCTTAAAGGAAATGGACAACTTTCTGGATAAACATCACTTACCAAAATTAGTTAGGATTTCTATTGCTGTGAAGAGACACGGTGACCATGGCGACTCCTACAAAGGAAAACATTTACTTGGCTGCTTTCTAGTTCAGAGGTTCAGTCCATTGTCATCAATGGTGTGACATGAGGCAGGCAGACATGGTGCTAGAGAAACAGCTGAGAGTCCTACAGCTTGCAGGCAACAGGAAGTAGTCTGTCTCACTGGGTGTGGCTTGAGCATATATGAATCCTCAAAGCCTGCCTCCACAGTGACATACTTTTTCCAGCAAAACCACACCTACTCCATCAAGGCCACACCTCCTTATAGTGACACTTCCTTTAGGGGCCATTTTCTTTCAAATTTTCTCTCCACTGAGCACTAGGGATGGAGATTTTCTCTGTCAGAAGGGTACAATGATAGGGGGATGGACACTTGCCTTGTACCTCTCTCTACTCCACTCTCTACTCCACTGAGAACAGTAACCTACTTCTTCATAAATAGAATTATAGGGATCTGTCCTTCCAATATCATCCCCCTTCCCGAGCATAATTGTTTAACCAAACAGAAGCATATCTTCCATCCTTCCATATATGATGATGACTGGCCCCAGGGATTAACTGATCAGTGTGGGCTCTCATTTCCAAGTCTTTTCCATGAAATGTAAATTAGTTATATAGTACAATGCCACAAAAAGAAAGTTTCCTTGGAAAGCACAAGATCTATTTGTTACTTTACATGTAAATAACCCGTATCTTTGTCATGTTTTGTTATTATTTGCACTGTTGCATGCATGTGTGGTTTAAAACATACCTGGAACCATTGCTGTGAGTTTCCAAGCAAGCCCTAAGTCTCCGGATTCCAGAAATGAGCTTACTCAGAAAGGAAACAGGAATTTGAAGTGAATTTTCTCACACGTGCACTCAAAGTTACAAGAAAAACAAATACAGTCATGTTTCTCTTTCCTACAGTAAATTTGGTTTCTGTTCAGTAAGATTTTAAAGTTGAGCAGCGTCTTCTTTATTTTAAAGAAATTAATAATACATGCAAACAAGCCTCATAGGGTCACATGAAAAATCTGGAGTCCTGAGGTCCTGACACACTTGCCCGTTGAGTCCTTGTTATAATCAGAGTCTCCTGAGGAACCTGCCCTGTATGTCTCAGGATTGCCTCAAGGCAGGACATGTCGGTCCCTCTGACAGGTCTTCTCCAGAACAGACTGAATTTCTCCTCTCCTCACCAACACTCAGTCTCACAGAGATACCCTATAAAAGAAGACACTAAAGACTAACAAAACAACAATAGCTCAGCTCTTTCTTCCTTATTCAGTTACATGGCTAAAGAGGATGTTTTATGGTTTGAACCTATGACTTTGTCATGTTTGAGGAAAATAATTAACGTTCATCTTTTTCATAGCTGCTTGCATCACTGTGATTTGGAACATACCTGAAACCATCCCTAAGAGCTTCCAAGCAAAGGCCTCCAGAAATGAGCCTACTCAGTGGGAAAACAGAAACTTAGAGGGAATTTTCCCCTCACAGGATCATTGGGTTTAAATATTTGGTACCCAACTGATGGTACTGTTAGGGAGAGTTGTTGAACCTTTGGTCTATGTGACCTGTCTAAGGGAAATAGGTTGGCCTGGAGTGGACCTTGAAGGTAATATCCACTTCTGGTTCCCATTAATTTACTGATCCCGCATCCACATGAGAAGCTTAGCCTTACACTCCAGTTCACGAGGCTGCCCTGCCTGACATCTCCATCAGGGTGACTGTTCCCTTTGAAACTGTGAGCCAGAATGAGCTCCCTCTCCCACCATTCCAGTTGCTTCTGGCCCACTTCTCTGTGGTGGTCAGGGCTGCAGGAGGGACTCATAAAGGAGGGGTTTTTTTCCTACTTAAAAATTGTTACTTTTTAAGTGTGTGTGTGTGTGTGTGTGTATACACATGTGTACATGAGTGTAACTTAGATTTTATGGAGCTAGAGTGACAAGAGAATGTTAGGCCACCCATGTGAGCTCTAGGAATAGAACTCTGGTCCCCTGCAAGGGCACCTTAACCTCTAAGCCATCTCTCCAGTCCCCCAAAAAATGGTTCTTTTAAATGTTGACATGAGCATGCTCATGTGATAATATTAGCAATAGTTTAGAAGTGGGTCTGGAGAAAGTCTGTAGAAAATGATGGGCTTTCAGGTGGATGTCATAAACAGCAGCCTAGGAGGAGAGGTCTCCCAGCAGTCTCTGAACTTTCAATCGTGTTTTTACAGGGCAGCTCATTGTTTTTCTTCTCCCTGAAAAAATTACAAACAATAACTGTTATGATGAGTTCCGCAGAGAATGACAATGTCCATGCCACCCCTGCTTGACAAAGAGCAGCACCTCACTGTGTCTGCCACATGTAAGCAAGCCTCCCAGTTTATAATCCTCCTACAGAGAAGTCCTCTGGGACCATGCTGCTATCTTGGGGTCTCCCTCTTTGCCCTTGGACCCCTCCCTCCTCCTTGCAGTGAGTGCTGGCTAGTGGCAGGGTGAGGTGTGAGGGAGGAGATGGTCTCCTCTCTGACCCCACATGCAGCCAGGCACGCAGGGTGGCTTCTCTCCCATCACCACTTGCTCTGGATTTTCTCCACAACTTAAAAAAGAAAGAAAGAAAGGAAAAGCAAACCCAAAGGCATTCTGTCTTTTATAATGTTCTGTTTTAAAAGCAAGAAATCTTTAGAGAGAGACCAGGACCCCAGGAAAAAAAAAAAAAAAGGCCTGGAATTTCTCCCTTCTCTCTTTCCATTTAAAACAGGAAACATTCCTGCTAAGAGAGTCCAGAGGGAACGTTGGTTGTGTGCTGGGTTGAAGGCAGATAATGTTTGTGTGTTGCAAATGTCAGTGATTTATCCTAAGGACTTAAAATGAGGGCAGAGAAACCACATGTTCCACTTCATGCAGAGAAATACCTCTGGTCGCTTTTGAAAGGAAACACAGGTTAAGGAATTTTCTTAAGTGTTTCTGCAATCTACAGCTTGAGCCAAAGGAAACAGAAATGAGCATGGTGGTTGAAAGACGAGGTCTTTAATTTTTTTTCTTTTCTTTTTCTTTTTCTTTTTTTTTTACAGTAAAAGATACAACGAGTGCTGGAAATTTTCTAAATAAAAAGATGAAATTGTCAAGGAAAGGGATGGGGACAAATGGGTCCTTTATTTCGCAAGGTCCTAGTGACAGGTGATTAGTGATGTACGCCTGCTCTATTTGTCATGGCAATTTAGCATAGAGCAAAGCGGCCCAAACTGAATAGGAACCGCTGATGGCTATGAACAATTTGTACGCAAACAATTTAATTTTTGATCTGAAAATTCTCACTAACTAAATTACCCCAAATTCAGGGATCCATCGTTCATTATTATACATAGCAAACTTAGGGCGCACACACCTCCACAGATCATTGTAGACGGACTACTAAGACTAGATTGTTCATCCTTAGGACCACATTCACAGGTGGCTTTCCTCAGGTTCCAGGCGCTCAGACTTGTCAAGTCTTCATTGATTTGGGGGAACAGGGTTATTTTAACATCCAACTCCACAGGTTACAGGGTGATTTGGGCCCTCATTGACGATGTCTGATTAGCCACAGGTATGGTATTTGTACAGCCCTGTCATTGCTGTCAAGTGTACAAGCAGTCTGCACTCTGACATTGGCGGGCTTTTCAGTGGTCATTATTGTTGCTGTTTCTCCTTTAAAGTAAAAATCACGAGGAGCAGAGAAATAAGAAAGGGGGGATCTGGTGGCGTGCTGAGTGCTACTGGCCAATACGTGCGAGTGCGCAGAAGCTTTACTGGGATTTCAAGGGCTGCAAAGGAAGACACTGTCTCACCCCAGGCTCCCCAAGATGCCTTCATCTGCATATTGTCTGGAGACGTATTGTTTCTGTTATGGCGAGCAGATCAGATAATGCTTGTCTTCAGTAGAAAGTTCCAGATAGGTTTGTTCCCCATTAGTGTGTGTTCTTGCGCTAGACCTTTCTGTATGCAGCCTCTTATGCGGGGCACCTTGGTTTTTGCTACTGACTTTGTGGTAGACCGAATTACTTTTATCACAGTTCCAGGTGGGCAATTTCCCAGCTCTGAGTTGAGAGTTCTTTGGGGAACAGTGGAGGAAGGCACACTAATTCAAACAGGGATGTGAGAGCAGCCACCGGACCTAGCCAGGGCCACACACAGCCCTTTCAACGAGCACCCCTGCCATCTAGGAGGGAAATGAGTGCCGTTTCTGAGGACCCCGGCCCAGAGTATTAGTACTGCCGTCTCTCTTACAGATTGGGGCTCTCACAGCCACAGGCTTAACGGGGCCAAGCATCCCTCTGTAGGGGAACCTCGTTTGATTGCTGTAATGAACGTGAATATAAAAGGGCATAAGCAACACAGGAATATATTTCTTCTCGTGTACCAGTGTGAGTGTAAGCTGCCCTAGGTGGCATGGTAGCTTGTCTGTCAAGGACCTGCGTTCTTGAATTCTCGTTGCTCTGCCTTCCCCGCACATGGTTTTCACCTTGAAGTCTACGGTGGCAAAGAAGAAGATCCCCTCTCCCATTGTTTAAGGGCACACATCATATCTGCTCACACAGCCTGGCCCAGGCCTAGGATATGGTCACAGCCGATGCAGTCAAGGCAGAAGCGTGGGGTCTTCAGCTGGGAGCAGCACCAGAGTCCTGACGCATCTCTCTGCTTTTCTTCCTAGGGGAGGCTCCGCAGATCCTGTGGACTACCTGATGGCAGCACCCCGAGGGCGCTACAATGAAAGAGAGCTTCCATACTACCCCGGGCCTCATCCTGTGCACCCCCCAAGAGGGGGCTATCCCCGCCCCTCGGATCTCAGGGCGGCAGATCTCCAGCGTCCTCAGTACTACCCACGCCCACCAGCGCATCAGCACAGAGGACCCTTCAGACAAGATGTCCCACCTTCCCCACCGCAGCACCACAGAGTTCCGGTCTATCAGGAGATGGGCAGAGCAGGGCCCCGAGGGGGCAGTCCTGACCGGCACCGCTATGGTAACCAGGATCCCAGGCAGAAAAACCCCATGACTGCTGCCGTATAGCTGAACATCGCAGAGGTCTTCCAAGCAAGGAAGCTATCCAACACCACCTTTGCCCTTGCTAGACCCTAAGGCCTTCTCTAGTTTAAGGTGCTCCGGTACAAGTGGCCCTTGCTCACTGAGGATGTTGACACTTGATTGTTAATCAGAAGAGGGAAAAGGGGGACAGGGGGTTTGGGGATGTGGACTCCAAAGGAAGAAGGGGGAGGGGTCATAAAAAAACAGTACTTCCTGATACTTGAAAGGCTGGTTGATTGAAGGAGGGTGGGAATTGATTAACAATCAATGGAGTTACACTATAGTAAACCCTGGTTAGAAAACCAGAGCTGGTTACAATCCCCCCCCCCTCCCACCTCATCACCACACATAGAGGAAGCCGCACAGAGGTACCTGTCTCGGCCAGGCCTAGTCACCCTTTCAGAGATGGAGCTGTGAGGTCTACACAGTGACAAAGGAGAGAGGCTGTGAACACGGGTGTCTTCATAAGACCGGTGTCTTCACTGAGAACCAAGTAACAATAATCGTGACCAGTGACCTCTGTGAGACTTTGGAGCCCAAGGAAGACTGCGTTTTCTTATTTATAGTCTACATTGGCTACCTGGTACTGCTTGTTTGATATAAAGCGTCCCCATTTCCTTGCTTTTGATGTAAAAGCCAGTAGAATCTGAGTGCAGCATTAGCGTCCTGGGAGGATGTGGAAAGTTATCAGAGCTTCCAGAAGGAACTCTTTTCCAGCCAAGCACCACAGTGAGCAGGTGAAGAGGGCTGGCTGTCCCGTGGACCTTGCTGGTCTCTCTCCCAGGCCCTGGCATGCATGCTTGGACAGACAGCTGATTCCACAGTCCTCCCCAAATGCCTGTCATTAGCTTCACTGAGACTTCTACTTTTAGAGTCCCACTTAAGGGGGAAAGTATACATGTGAGTAGCATGGTTAAAGGAAAGAGAGCCTGCTGGTCAGGCCACACAGAGAGCAATGTCCTAGGGATGTCAGTTCCAGACTCAGTGCCAAACAGTACCCATCTGCCTCTGCTACAGGGTCAGTGAGGAAGCTGGTCACCAGAAAGTAGGTGGAAGTGTGTGTGTGTGTGTGTGTGTGTGTGTGTGTGTGTGTGTGTGTGTTTCCAAACACATGTGATTACCAGTATGGAGAGTAAAAGAGAAAATTGCCTTCTGGATGTTTGATGAGGAAGAAATCAGAGGAAGTAAAAGGAGAAGCTGCATAAGATTAAATCAGTCTGCATCTGCTCTATCTCATTAACAAATGTCAGGGCCAAGCCAAGGGCTCCACCTGATTTAAAAGACAAAGACAGAAAAAGTATCTGGCTCTGGGGCGCAAGAACCTGAAAAGCCACTCTTGCTCCCTTTGAGCTTTTCTTCACAACAGAGCATCTGAGGCTTCCAAACTGATCCAAATGGGAACACAAGCAAAAGACTGCGAAATGGCAGGCACAGCCGGCTCTCTGGATTTCTCGGTGTCTGCTAAGCTGTTCACATTCCCTCTTCACCCCTGTCCCCAAAAGGTCTTTAGTTCAATGTAGGCGTATTTTGGCTGAGAGTAGAATACCACTGACCGACAGAATTTAGTGCATTATGGTATTCTAAAATACATAGAGTAGCCATCTGGCCCAATTTAGTCTTTTTATTTTTTTGTTAAATAGTTTTGTTACCAAGAATGATGCAACCACTGGTTTTAGCCGTAAATAGTGTCATTTGCTGGACTTCAAGAGAGATCATTATCTAAACCACAATTATCGTGGCCCTCTGAAAAATTGACTGTCAAGTTGCTTTTTGTCCCCTGCCATCTCTCTTCAGCCAGAACCCTTACATCATATGTAATTTGTTCAGTGGAGTGGGGGAGCTCAGGATCTACCCAGCAAGGTGCTGCAGCAACACCACAGGGTCCCTGGCCACCAGACTGAAAGGGCCTTTTCTTTGGGAGAAAAGCCACAGTGAAGGAAATGCAGCTTTGGGGGCGGGGCAAGCATTAGACCAAGCTTAAGCCAGATATGGTAGCACTTGCCTAGAATCCGGGGAGGCAGACTTCAAGGTGGAGGCTTAGCCTGGACTGCAGGGTGAGTTTGAGACCAGCCTAGGCTATATAACCAGACCCTGTGGTTTGTGGGGGGAGGGTTGTTGGTTTTTTTTTTTTAAGATACTCTTTGATGTGGTCTATATTTTACTCAAATTTCGGTAAAGCACGGATTCTGTCCAAGGCTGAAGTGTCCCCTGGCAGGAAGGCTGGACCACTTAGTGGGCCATGGGTGGTGACAGTGGTGTGCTGTGGAGAAGGGCACCTGCAGATGACTGCTCGTGTTTCCAGCTCCAGCACTGACACCTTAGGCACACAGCACCCTATATGCAGGCTTCAGAAAAGCTGCTTCAGACCTTGGCTTTGTGCTGTGTACACAGTCCATCCAATAGCCACTGTTCCTGAGAGGCCCTCGGAGGCTCAAAGGTATTATTAAAGAAAACAAAACAAAAAAAGAAATGATAACAGCTTTCTTTTCTTGCTTAAAAGTATAGCAATCTCTGCGTTTGATCCTGCCCTAAAGAACTAACATTCTATTTGTGACCGAGGCTGCACCAAGCCGGGCAATGATTAAGAACAGCTCGGACAGTAAGCTTTAGAGATGCCTGAGTACTATCCCTCCAACTGTCTCCTCTCCACGTCATCAAGACCATTTTCCGGTGCTCTGGGAGAGGAGGTGGTTATCTGGAAGTCCATTCTATTATGATCAGCAGGTCCCCTGAAGAAGGAAAGAGCTCCGGGATATTTACAACCTTGGGAAAACTCACTTGGTTATCTCTCTGTAGTTGGAAACTGGGAGAGGGCTCATCAAAACCTGTAAACTTGCCTCTGGGCCACTCAGCTTCACGGGTCCTCTTTCCTCCCTTTTTTCTATGACTAGAAAGACGAGAGAGAGAGAGAGAGAGAGAGAGAGAGAGAGAGAGAGACCACCAAAAACCTTTAGTCCCTAGAATTCAGTCTTCTCCAAGAGAGAGAAACACAGCTCATTGGTCTATCTATCACACCCCTGGACTGAGGCAATCATCCCTCTTGGCTTAATACAGTTTCCCTCCAGAATTGAATCAGGGGACAAAGGAACGTTTTCTTAAATCATGATTTCAGAGTAAACAAAGCCTAGGGAAAAAATTATCCAAAATCTCTTTATTCTTAGACTTTTCAGAACATCTGTGTTGAGCCCACAGCACCCCATGGAGAAAAAGTCTGATGTATTCAATAGAATCCTAGAGAAACAGAGCCTTGGGGGCTCCGTTGGAGCCTTATTTCCGCTGCTGACAGAATAAAGTTAAAACAAGATCCACTGCCTTGAATTTTCTTAGCTAAACCTACCTTGTGAAAGAAATCCTCCTGCAACTTCAGGATCCTAGAGCTGGCTCCTGTGTTCCCTGGTCCTCAGAGAGAACAAGACCATAGAGAAAATCAACACCATTCGGTTTTGTGTGCCTGCTGTTTAGTGTTTGAGCAGTGTTACTGAGTTTCAGGCCTATGGGAAGAAGTGAAAAGCAGTTGATAAAGGAATGTGTCGCTGTAACACGAGATGCACTGAGAGCAGCTTTTGAACTGGTGTTAAATTGGGTAGACATCCCACCGCCTCCCCAGTCCATGTGAACAGAAAGGCCGAGTTTCACACAGTGAGACGGCAGGGAGTTCCATTCAGAAAAGTCCATAATGGTGTTTCTCCGTTCTCAGTTCATTCCAGCCTTGCATAGAGGCGAGGCTACAGTGAGATGGGGAAGGGGGGAAGGGGATTCTTCATAAATTATCCCTACAGAGTCACCTTTCTAGTAAAAAGGAGGGCAAAAAAGTTAGAGATCTAAAAATAAGCCAGGATGCTCACATGAAACTATGGCTTCAAAGTGTACCTTTCTCCCTCCTCTCCTTAAATAGACATGCAGTCACCCACAGCCTGGCTGTTGAAGTGGGTTTGGCTACTAAGCTCCAAGTGGGAAGAGAACCATTCCCAAAGGCCTTGGCCCGCCCTTCAGAAAGCGTTCCCTTCCATCTGCAATGCTGGTGACGGCTGGGACACAACACGAACCCTGTTCTTTATGCCCTCACTTTCTCTAGTCTCTCCCGTTCTTCTGTGATCAACGAGTCACCTGTTCACACATTCTAAAGATAAATTATGTGAAATCATATTTTGGCATACGGGGATGGAGAGTGAATTCTCTGCAAACTTTTTAATATGGTTCCATTTATATCACTGAAGACATTTTGGATGTTATTGTATATGAGTATATAAATTTTTCATGTTTTATTTTGCATTAAAATAAAGCTTTATTCAATCAGTGATACATCGGCATCTGATTTGTTTGGGGCATCTGATGAGTGATTAGGTGGGCTTGTGCCTGCTCACTCTGCAGCAGCAAATCTAATGCAGCGGTTCTCGAACTTTCTAATGCTGCGACCCTTTAGTAGCGTTCCTCGCGTTGTGATGACACCGACAATAAGAAAATTATTTCCACTGCCACTCCATAACTGTAATTTCGCTGCAGTTAGGAATAGTTGCATAAATATTTTTGGAGGTTTGTCAAAGAAGTTGAGACCCACACATGGAGGACACTGATCTAATAGTTAAGTGCTTCATAGTGACACCTAAGAAGAGCATCAGGGCACAGGGGCTTCTGCTGCATGCAGATGAGAGAGGACAGAGGCAGGCTGAGCTGCAAAGCGCTCACAGTACTAGTGCCAGCCAAGTCCACAGGGAACTCTGGAGAACACTGGACACTCAGAGCTTCCTCGAGTGAGGATGAGAGAGGTCTTTATGCCACATGGCTATTCTAGGAAGAGAAAAAAAAACTAAGGTCAGGCAATTTTCTTAGGCTCGGGCATGTTACAACAAGTCTCAGCCCTGAAATAATCACACAGAAACCATATTATTTGCAATCCTGTTTGCCCAATAGCTTAAGCGTATTTCTGGCTAACTCATATCTTAAATTAACCCATCTCCATTAATCTGTGTCTTGCCACAAGGCTGTGGCTTACCAGGTAAAGTTCCCATATTTGCCTCCAGCAGGGCTACATGGCTTCTCCTTGACTCCGCCTTCTTTCTCCCAGCATTCAGCCTAGCTTTCCCCACCTAGTTCTGTTCTACCCTGCCATAGGCTCAAAGCAGTTCTTTATTAATCAATGCTAATCATAGCATACAGAGGGGACACCCACATCAGAGGCACCCCCAAAGAGTCATAGCAGCTGGGACCATTTTTGGTTGGTTCTCACAGCGGCTGAGAAGGTTTTTCTTTTATGGAGGAAGACCAAAGGCCACCATCACAGTATCCACATCATTCAACACATTCTAGAACCACTCTCCCCTCATCTGTAGAAGGTCATCTTCAGCAACAACACTGCCTGTCTCTCTCACACTTAATTTCAGCCCTTTCCATATTTCTAGCAAGTTCATCTATTTGGCAAGTTCAACATGGTTTCATTAATCTCCCAGGTCTTTCTAGGCTGTCTGCTGTAACCCACATCTTATTCTGAACATCCTTTCTTTCTGTCTGGGCATCAAGGCTTTAATGACCCAATGACCCCACAAGACCTCTAAACTCAGCATGCCCATCTTTCTTCCGACATACCTGTTCTCACAATTCTGTTTGCGTACTACTGCCAGTTACAGGGCAGAAATCCGGAACTTGCCACCCAACCATGCCCATGCACCGTACACACTCTGTAGACACTGTTCAGCATGCCCACACTCCCCGGTGCCGTGGCATAACTAGGCTCAACCTGGTCGCTTTCTCTCCTCAGCCTCTTCCATAGCCGTCTAGAGCGTCTCCTTCATCTCCGAGCTTACTCTCTGCAGCCCTCCTCTGTTCTCCAAGGCCTGCAACCTGCTTTCGTGAATACAGCTTCCCAGAACACCTCCACGCCCGCTCATTTTCGTAGTGGGTTACAATTCTTTCACATGCTATCACCCACCTCTAACTCTATTCTTGGCAGGGTTTTTGTTGTTTTTGTTTTGGTTTATTTTTCTGAAATGGCCATACTACCCAGCTTAAGGCAGCAAAGTCTTTTAAGAAAAAAATATTGAAAATTGGGAGACGTGGATTTAAAACATTGATTAGGTGTTAGCTACTAAGTCACTGTGTAACCTTGGGCAAAATACTCCTCTCTCTGGCATTTCCTGTGAAATGAACTCGGTATTCTCACAGAGGAGCTCACTGTGTGCAGCTCCTCCCAGCACTGCGCTGAGTGACGGGTGCTGGCAGCCTAAGACAAATCAAGTTGGAAGTATTTAAACCACAGGTAACAGATGTACGTGGCATACATGAGTGTCTTCTAGTCTGGAGAATAAGGTATCAGACTTTATCCGAGTGCTGTGGTAATAACCCTCAGGAGAGGGCTGGCATGGCTTTATCATCAGTGGGTAAAAGCACTGGCCAAGCAAGCCCGATTACCTGAGCTCAATCCCTGGAATCCACAGGGGGCTTAGAAAATGATTCCTAGTGTTGCCATCAAACTTCCACAAGTCTGCTGTGACAAGTACATGAACACACACACACACACACACACACAGTAAAACTTCTAAAAAATATTCCAAATATTCACCGCTAGGCGGTGGTGGCACATGCCTTTAATTCAAGCCCTTGGGAGGCAGAGGCAGGCAGATCTCTGTGAGTTCGAGGCTAGCCTGGTCTGCAAGAGCCAGTTCCAGGACAGGCTCCAAAGCTGTACAGAAAAGCCCTGTCTCAAAAAACCAAATCATCATCATCATCACCATCACCAAAAACACAATCTCTTCCTGCTTGTATACACAGGTATGCACATACAAACTTACATCTTCAAACCTCTCTGGACCACTTGCAAGCCTATGCTGTAAGCAGCCCCATCTTTCCTCCCTGTCTCTCACTGTTGCTCATTTTCCATCCGTGCTACTACTATTGTGATGTCTTAAATCTAGTCTGGCCATACTGCACCATGGCTTGACAGCAGAAGCATGGCTCGCTCTGCTTACCTGCCCTAGAATGGACTTTTCCTAGGCCCTGAAGTCCCAGGGCAGGCAGCTCTTTCTCTAAAAGTCTGGAAGTTATAGCCGAGTGAATGCTTTCCTGACCTATATCTCACCTTCGAAATCAAAGAGTCCTACCAGCTAGATGACCTGGTGCTGGAGAACACATTTCTTCACAACCTGGCTTCCACACAGGGCCCAGCTTTGACAAGGCAAGCTACACAGCTGAAAGAGACGAGCAGGTTAGCCATGCTTCTGCTCCAAACCTGGTCACAGAGCCACTGGGCTGTGCTGCAGGAGCACACAGACCGCAGCTGCATGGGGACCCGCCACCATGGAGGGTAATCATGGGGTTAGCATGGGTCCCACCTGAGGGAAGGTGATTCATTCCTGCACACTGGAGTCTCTGACTTTCTGGTCATCCCAAGAATAGCAGCCCCCAGAGGGCTAGATCTGTTACTGTGACCTTATTCCTGTACATTTTCCCACAGAGGTACAAGGAGCTCAGTTATCTGCCACTGAACAGAACAAGACATGGTCCGAGCCCCTCCTCCCAGCACAGAGTGGGTATTTCCACACTGTATGTTACTGAGATACCTTGTGCAGATCCTCAATAAAACTTTTATGACCTGTATTACGGTGATTAGTTTCCAAGTCTGTGTGGCCGTCTAAGGTGTACCGTGTTTGTAGCACATTGCCTGGCTCTGGCTTTACGCTCTAGAAATATTTGTTGAATTCATCCAAATGAAGAAATGAGGTGTGAGGCTCTTTCCCTGAATTTCTAGGAAGCTGACATTCCTCCTCGAAGCCCAGACCATAAATCTCTAAGCTCTGTTGTTAAAGGTCGCCTGGCAGTATTCTTGAAGGGAAGGGTGTTAGCTCACGTGGGCATGCCGGAGCCTAATTTAAAACACGGAAAAGCAGGCCAGGAGAAGTGAACGCAAGCGGTGGTGTGCACATTATTTAGAGGGTAGAAGAGACTTACGTAGAGGAAGTGCACTACTTACAGGTGACTGAGATGGAAAGACTGTTAGTCACACATGATTACTATTATTATTGTATAATTCCTGGATGTTAGCAAGATCTTTGCAGCCACTCGCATTGCTTGTTCCTTTCAACAGTCCTGGATGGCGAGATGAAACAACTCTCCGATCTTCCACACAGAAGCCAAGGACTGCATACAATGTTACTAAAACAAAGGCTTAATGGAAGCTGTTTGGACACGTCCAGAGAAGCCACAGGTTACTTTGTCTTAGCGACTGAAATTCTCTTTCAGTGGCCGTACTTCTTCTGACTAATTATTGTTCACATCTCCTGCTGAATATTTTATGATCACAGTAATTTGGCTTCTCGGGTAGTCAAAGTATATCAGGTTCTTACTTATTTTACACACGAGGAAACCGAGGCATTCAGAAGTCAGCAACTCTCGTAACCTGGGGCTGCAAGGGAAGATGGGAAAGCTGAGCCCGCTCCATCCCTTCTCTTTCGGAGAGCCTCCTATGTTGTGGGCACTGTCCTAGGTGCTCTCCCTGCAGCTTGAGTGGGCACCCCACCACACTTCTTAAAAGATCCTCTGAAACACAGGCCATCCATGCTTCCCGTGTGTGCTTCCCTCCTCACTGGACTCTCAGAGGTCACACAGGTCATGGTGAAAATGCTTCTGCTGTTGCCATTTCCAAGACTGTTGTGTTGGCTACTCTTGCTGCTGTGACAAGAGCACCTAAAGAAAGGAGGATTCTGCTTTGCTGGTTTTGATGGTGGTTTTCCTCACTCTAAGGGGACAGAATCCATCGTGGCAGAGGAGGTGGCAAGACACTGAGGCAGCCAGGCAGAGAGAAATAGATGCTGGCTCCTGGTTGTCTTCCTGCTTTTCCCATTCTATTCCAGCTCACGGGATGATGCTCTCCATATGTGCAAAGTGGGTCTTCCCTGCTCCAGTAAGCATCTCTGAAAATGCCCTCCAGACATCCCCAGAGGTGTGTTCTCCATGACTCCAAATCCTGAAGAGCTGACATGAGGATTCACCATTGCACCATTTTGAAAATCGCCCGTTGAACTTGAACCTTTGGCTACTTCAGAACACAAGCCTAAATACTCAAGTTTACTGAAGAAGAGCTAATGTGTGCGACACCCTTACTGTTAACTGAACCCTGTCAACCCTTACTTAACTTCTGAGCCCTTCTGCCTACTCCGTCTCATAAGAATTACAACAATAAAATGACAATGGTAGACCAATAGGTCCCAGCACAGACAGCCTCGAGTTCAAACTGGCAGGCTCTGGGAGGAGAAAGCCATACTCACAAGAGCAGAGACAGAGCTGAAGGTGAAGTGCGGTTGAGGGAACGA